TAATTGCAGAGGTCATGTGAATCCACATACAGCGCAAGATTAGAAACAACATCTGCAAAATTACTTCTTGGGAAAGTATTTTGTGTTTTGTCCTTTTCCAAAAAAGTGATTTTGCAAGTAGATTGCTGTCTTTCCTGCCTTGCAGTACGTTATATTGCTGGTTAAAGCATATTTGGAGAAAAACTGTTTACTGTCAAGAGGTTTTGAACCCATAGTTGTTTTTTGACTTTACCATTTTTTCTAATGTATTTGATCGACTTCTATATGAGTAAATTAGATTGGAATCCTATCTTTAAATTCTGAAATGATGGCCCATGAGTAAACTGTTTGAATATACTGATTATGCTGTATATTAAAATTCTATATATGGCAACTATCATATATTGTATATGCAAGCATGTAACCTTTTTATATTATCTTTAAAATTTGTTCATGGTAATGCCTATAGAGTATGAGGTAATTGATTATGTAGAATAATCAAAAGCTGGGAGGCAGAAGGAGGACTGGGGAACAAGCCTCCTCTAATATCCACACCGATCCATGAGATGTCCTCGAGTTTTAAAAGCACACCACTCCAGCCATGTGCGTTTGTGATATTGCTGTCCTCCTGTCATGTATATTACATGTAGACATTTTCCAAACATTGTGTCCATTTCAATCATAAAAAGGAGGCAGTCAGTAGAACAGAGAGCTATAGCAGTGGTAGCCTTGTTCTGCTTCATGAAATATGAAAGCCTGTTTTTACTTAGGAATAATAACAGTTTGTAAGGCCTCAGGCTGAGGAGTTTATGCATAACACAGCCTGCTGGACCATGTAGCAGAGACAGCGAGACCATTGAGTGTGGTGTGTTAGAAATTGGATAATGACAAAAGTAGGGTTGATGATGAGTCGCAGGTCAGTTGGACCATTTGTTCTTAGAACCCATCCTTTTCCCCATGAAAATTCCATAGACCCATGGTTCCTGCTACATGAGTGTTCTCTGCATTGCAGGTCATGGGCTTGGGTTGGGGTTCAGTTGGAAAGGGGCGATTTCCCTTTTCTTTCCCTACTCCCCAAACATTCGGCTTTTTATGACCTCATTCTTTGTAATCTTAGGGATCGAAGGATGGAAAGTCAGTAATAAGGAGTCAGTGTGAACTTGTCCAAGCTCTTTTCTAGGATGCATTTTTCTTTTTCTTGCTCATATGCGCATATACACACTCGGAATATTTCTTGTAGCCTAAGACTTCATAGAGCATAATTCAGTATTAACGGTTTTTCAGGATAAAACAGTGTGGTCATCCTTTGTAAATTTCATCCATTTCTCAGAAATGTTGGTGTGAAAACATCTTAAAATTAGTGTGGTGTACAAGTGTAGCTTATGTTTTTCAATTTACTAAGCTTGACTTGTTTGGACAGATTAGCCTCCTCCCCTTTAGAGTGGGGATGAGTAGTGAGGACAGAGTCAACTGCTTTAAAGTCCAGGATATTAGACCAGAATGACAGAAACAGTTCACTTGGGTCTGACACTTGGAGTTATTTTTTCAAAGCCAGGCAGGTGTCACTGGGCTGAAAATGACAATTTAGAGATCCTTCCATTGAAATCTCTTAGCTTGGCATCCTTCCGAATTCCCGTTTCAGGATAAGTGGGTCTTCAGTCAGGCCCTTGGTTCTGATTTCAAGATATCCCTGGTGGTACGTATTATTTCCAGAGTTGCTTTAGATTTTAAGCAAAACATTTTAATCCTTTTAATTTTCAATATATATTTTACATAAAGGGGAGATGTCATAAAAATTAAATGAGTAGTCCGAGTAGCTCGACCACAAAAGGCAGGGAATCACTGGTATAGACATTTTAGTCCATTAGCAGAAAATTGCCTATTCTCAAATAGGTAGGTCAAGTGCAGAAAGAACCTCTCTACTTGAGATAAAATTTCCTTTCCACTTAGCCTTCTGCCTATTAGGACAGGCAGCCAGGAGCTGCCCAAATTTTAGCAAGCTGCCCAAATTTTAGCATCCTGCCTCCTTCTTGCTAGTAGTTTCCTTGACTATATGCATTAAAAAGTATTTGGTTATAATGGAATTTACCGTCATAGCTACAAAGACCTTTAAAACCAGAAGGACATTAGATGATAATGTGCAACTTTTTATTTTGTAAATAAAGAAAATTAGAGGTTATTAAATGACTTGCTCCACATAATGCAGCTCGTTAATGTCGGGCAGCAGCAGGTTTGGAGCCTGACACCCCAGTGGGTTCACCTTTTACAGTCTTGGAGCAGGTTGCTTCGATAAAAGCAATTGGTTTGCTCTCCTGCGCGTGAACTCCTGTTTTCATTTGGGTACCTGGTGAAATGCTGGGTAATGAGACAGTCAAAACCCTTACTTCGTTTAACAGAAGAAAAATCATGTTCTGAAGCTGTGTGACATAAACAACAAAGATAGGTAACTTTTCTTCTTTTCCACACTGGCTAATTTCCCTGATTCAAAAGAGAGTATCAAACTTGTATGAAGATTTCAAATGCTTTTTAATAAACCTCAGATTTATTTCAAGCAACTCAATAAAGCGGGATATGGAGATGCAGGGAACTCATTTCCATTTGGACCTGGACTTAAAATTCATGAGTTGCCCCACCCAAGTGTGCACTAACGCAGTCTGTACTTGGGCAAGCAGAACTGTCTCTGTCAGCAGCATTTCAAAACGTGGAACTCTTCGGGTCCATGAGAGGCTCCACAATGTTCTTCTGGCATGGAGCCAAGCCCACAGGTTCTTTGTAGCTACTGCTCAGATGTGTCAGGCAGGCAGGCAAGATGTCTATGCTGCCATTTTATAACCCCCCCTAGCTTGGGCCCCAGAGAAGTTATAAGGCTTATTCTGTGCTGTGGGAGGCACCTGTGGTCATACCTATGCCATTATCTCCGATTCACAAATCTGCCTTGAGAGCATTTGTAACCCCTCATTAGGCATTAAGTGGCTTGGGTGCTGAAGTCCAGAGTGACTGGACAAAGAGAAACCAATGGACTTGTATTGATGTCAGAGTGTTCTTGATGGGGAATGGAGTAGGCGTGACTGGGGCCGTGGTTTCTGTTCATGGGCTACCCTCTGAGGGGATGGACCAGAGGGGAGCAGGTGAAACCACGGAATAGCCAACAGTATTGCCTGGCCCTGAGATCTGCATGTATGGGCTCAGTTTGTCAGTTTATCATAAAATCCCATCTGCTTCAAGATTTGTCTTTTTTCAGTATCTGAAATGTTTCAAATCTTAAGAAAAAAAATTAGCTTAGGAAGCTAGCTTTAGGTTAGATCATTTGACATGTTAGCAAATGGAGCCTCAACCCCAAGAATGCCATTTGAGAAGGGGATAGCAGCAAAAGGATCACTCTGAGTCACCCTGGCCTTTCTGTTGAGGCCAAGGATTCCTGCCAACTTCCAGGGTCCTTAGAGTGTCACTCAGCCACGGCAGGTGTCATTACAGGTGTTCATAACGACCCTGAGCATTCATGAAAAGCTGTTGTTTGAGGTTCCTTAGTTTTTCAGTCAGCCAGAGTCATATATAAGACACAAAAATTAATGTGGCCGGGTGCGGTGGCTCACACCTGTAATCCCAGCACTTTGGGAGGCTGAGGCGGGTGGATCACCGGAGGTCGGCAGTTTGAGACCAGCCTGACCAACCTGGATAAACCCCGTCTCTACTAAAAATACAAAATTAGCTGGGCATGGTGGCGCATGCCTGTAATCTCAGCTACTCGGGAGGCTGAGGCAGGAGAATTGCATGAGCCAGGAGGCAGAGGTTGCGGTGAACCCAGATTGCACCACTGTGCTCCAGCTTGGGCAACAAGAACAAAACTCCGTCTCAAAAAAAAAAAAAAAAAAAAAAAAGCAAGTGTTAGGCTCATTTTTCCTTTCTCTCCTCCCCTCCCTTATCCTGTTCCCTTTCCTTTTTCTCTCCCTCCCTTGCTTCCTTCCTTTTCCCCTTTTTTCTTTCTGATGGAGTCTTGCGCTGTTGCCCACGTTTGAGTGCAGTAGCTTGATGAACACAGCTCACTGCAGCCTTGATCTTCCAAGTTCAAACAATTCTCCCACCTCAGCCTCTTGAATAGCCAGAACTACAGAAGTACATCACCACTCCCAGCTAATTTTATTTTTTGTAGAGATAGGGTCTCTGTATGTAGCCCAGACTGGTCTTAAATTCCTAGGTTCAAGTGATACCCCCACCTCAGCCTCCCAAAGTGCCGGCATTATAGGTGTGAGCCACCGTGCCTGACCCTTTCCCTTTCCCTTTTTCTTTATTGGTGCTTTTTCAAAGGTTAATGTAAGCTTTTTGGAAATTCACTTGGTGTTCCTGGCAGTTACAGGGCAAAGTTGTGTCTATACCTTGGGAACACCTAGCAGAGCTTTCTTAGAAGCCTCTAGTAGTTGTTCGCTGGCTTTGATTTTTTAAAAACCCTTTTGGCCTTGCCTTTGACACCTTGATGTGTTTTTCATCACCTTTGGTTATGTCAGTAAGCATTGAAGCACCCTCTCTGTTGGTGCTTGGTGTCTTAGCCTGAAGCTCCCTTTGACATTCCCTGGAGGTGGAAAGCACTCTTTTTATTTTGGTGTCACCATTTTGTTTCTGCTTTGACGGTATCTGAGCCTGGAGTATAGACCCTCTACTGGCACCCAGAAGCATTTACATGCCTACAAAGCTCAAAGCCCTGCACGTGCCTCACAACAGGAGGGTGACCATTTCTCCATCTGTCCTGGGGAAGCCACAGAACCAGTGTAAAGGAGTTGGGGGTAGTTTTTTTTTTATTATTGCTGTTGTTGGATGCCCTTCCTGATCATTGCCTTTCTAGATAGCCATCTGAATCACCGATTCTTTCTAAAATGTGAGAATGGTCCCCACCCCTATGCATTTTATTGTTCCCAAGTATTAAATGTTTGTGTACATACATATATATATATATATTTAAATCAAAGAATTAAAAAAAATTCCTTTATATGCAATTCTTTTAACAAATTGTTTATTATTGTATCCAGGTAACAAGCATGGTAAGTATTTTCACCAAACTGAGTATTCTGTATTTTAGCTGTGCTTGGCAGACTTTTTTGGCTAGCTTTGTGTTATTAGCCTTGGCTGTCCTAGAAAAGACCTGTTTAGGAAAAGGAGAAATCACGTACCTGTAGCATCCCCTAGGCTTCCGGCTTTAGTACGAACCTACGTGGCATTAGCCCCATGGCGGGGGTACCTGAGAAAGCATGCACCCCGCCAGCATGCTGCTTGGCCCTGTTATCCCCACCCCCCACTACTTCTGAGCCTCTGCAGCCAGATGTTTGCCAGGGCTTTCAGGCCTGCATGATCGCAGCAGCTCCTGGGACCATGGCCCTGTGACAGCCAGCACACACAGATAGGGCTCCTCGAGCTCTGTGGACGGTCCTACTCCAGTCTGCGGCTGCATCTCTTCGTCACCCCTCCTCTCATCAGTTTGCTTAAAAGCAGGGCCTGTATTTTTTCTTCTTCCTTAAATGTTTAAAGTAATTAGAAAAATCTCCTTCTGGAAGCTGAAAAACTAAATAAATACATTGTCCACTCTTCTGAGAGGCTTCACATTCTGTTGGAAAATGGATTTAATCCCTTCAAAGAAAAGAAAAAGCCTTGCCCCATTGGGTTTTCCCAGTAAATGTTCTGAGGTACGGTAGGTTGAGTGTGGTTTAGCCTTCTGGCTGTGTTATTCATCCATGCATGTTTGCTTTTTTGGCCTATTTTGTGGCTCTGTATTTTAGTCCATGTGCTTGTGGCTGTGCCTGTATAACCTACCTGGTAGCCATGCGTTATGTATTAAGTCGGTGTGTCACTGTCACCTTCAAGGATCAGACCGCAAAGGATAAGGCCCTGCAGCACATGGCGGCCATGTCCTCAGCCCAGATCGTCTCGGCCACTGCCATTCACAACAAGCTGGGGCTGCCTGGGATTCCACGCCCGACCTTCCCAGGGGCGCCGGGGGTAAGTCATGCTCAGTCCAGTAATGACAGCTGCTGGGGTTGGGGTTGGCATGGGCCAGTGTTAAGCCTCCCACCTCCACTTCTTGTCATGTGGGTCAGGTGTGTGAGAGGGCAAAGACTACCCTGTGAACTGCTAACTCGTTCTAAAGTGGTGAAAGCAAGGAGGGAAGGAAGGCAGAGAGCTATTGAGAAAGAGAGGAAGGAGGAGGAAGGGAGAAAGAGGAGAAGGAGAAGAAAAGAAAAAAAGAGGGAGAAAGAAGAGGAAGGAATGCTGAGTGTCTGAAGACATGGGATTAAACGTGCCTTTCTGGGTTGGGCTGGCCTCTTCTCTCTTTACCTTTTCCTGGCCCTTGGTCTCGGTCCCTCTGTCTTCAGGGGCAACCAGCCCTTAAAGGGACAAGGTATTCTATTAACAGTTACATTTTGACACCTACCAAAGGCTGAGAAGCATTATGTTATAATCTCATTTAATCCTTCAGGTCATCTTAAATGCTTCCTGTCACTGCCATTTTGCACATGAAAAAGCTGAGATTATTCAATAGCAAAACAAGCATTTGGAAAGCTGATATTATAGTGGACTGGATAGTGATGTCAAGAATCAGCCAGAGGCTGCTCTTTCCTTCCTCTATGTCATGCTGCCTCTCCAGCTGGCACCCCAAACGCACAGGGAAGCTCACCGCAGAGAAGCTGCCTTCATTGCCTCTTGGAGCTCCTGGCCTTGTTCAAGCTTTGTTTTCTGCCTTGCTGGGCCTTCAGTGCTATTGAGGCAGAATGTCATGCAGGGAACGTTTCAAAATGGAGGGAGGTGCATGGATAAATCAGTCAGTTAAATATTTGCGAGGCCCCTGCAGCACACCCAGATCTTTGCTTAGGTATAAGGCAAACACTGAGGAGCTGCTGCCTACCCCTGCCCTTGGGATTTTCAGGAAGGAGGCACTAAGGGGAGCTCTGGATTGCCAGTCCAAGGATATAGATTCTGGTCTTGTGCAAGTGGTGACTGCTTTTGCACTCGGGGAAGGCGATTCTGTTGGGTGATCGAACCTGCTGTCTTTTAGTAGGGGTCGTGATGCGTAGGCATCCTGAACTATGCTTTGAAGTAAACTCTTAATTCTGAGGCCTTTGCATTTTGCTTTCCAGTTCTGGCCAGGAATGATACAAACAGGGCAGCCAGGATCCTCACAAGAGTAAGTCTGAGGACGGGTGGGCACTGACAAATGGGGGCTGGTCTCAGCGAATCCGGGGAGAGCTCTTCCCAGACCGTACTGTCTCAGCGCCTGGAGGAGAAAGGAGCATTACGCTGAGGTCCCAGAAGGCATCCTCCTCTTATTGTCTACTGAGGCCTTTCCTAGCAGGAAAGAGACTGGCTTTTCAGATCTGGGAGAGGTAGAATCACCTCACTCCCATCTTATCTACTGAGGCCTCTAGCAGAAAAGAGACTGGCTTTTCAGATCTGAGAGAGGTAAAATCACCTTACTCCCACCTTAAGTATTAGCAGTCATCCTGCTGGAAGCAAGAAGTGGACCTTTCTTCCTTCATGGGATTGAAGGCTGAGCTGTGGTCTTCCTTGCCTGATAAAGGACAGCACAGGTGATCCTGAAGCCCATTTCATTCTGACTTGTTCTGTAGTAGGGTGGCCAGTAGAAAAATCCTACGAGATCCCTTGGGGGCAAGAGAAAAAAGCTCAGTAAACTGGAAAATAAGGGCAATTTCAGGATCAAAGAAAGGAAATCCTGCCTATATGCTGTAAAAAACAACAAAAAACAAACAAACAAAAAAACCTTGAACTGTTTGGCCCAGAGAAGGAGATCCTGAAGCATGTCCCATACTTTGCCTAGAACTGGTGACTGCTTGACCTCAGAGGTTCAAAGGCATATGTCACAACACATGGAATTCAGGCTCTTTCCAGTGCGTCCCATTAAACTGGCATGAGGCTTGGTGGTTTGATTCCTAGCAGGCTGCTGGCCCCTCTCAGTTTATGGAACAATTGCCTCTGCCTGGGATGTGCTACCACCTGTAGGCAGGGACTGAAGTGATGAAGGACGTCCCACTGGGAGGTCATGGTGGGACCTGGGTAATAGCCGCTGCTGCAGATGTGATCTCTGACTCTCCCTGCCATCTCTCTGTTCCCAGCGTCAAGCCTTTTGTGCAGCAGGCCTACCCCATCCAGCCAGCGGTCACAGCCCCCATTCCAGGTGAGTCTCCCTGAAACTCCTTCTTGGGAGCACAGCCCTACCCAGCTGACAGCTAGGTCTGGCACTTTGTTCCCAGGGTCAAGAGATGCTCAGCTTTGCCACAGCTGCACATTACCCCTGAGTTGCTGGATCCTGGGTTGCCTGGAGCCCAGGAGGGCCACAGGGTAACCCCTGCCAGGTCCCAATTCCCTTCAGTCATCTCCCAAGAGCATTTCAGGTGGTTTGTTTAAGAAACAGAAAGCCTCATCACTTTCACCGAAGATGCTGGATTATCCTCAGAAGGAGGAGTTGCTGTAGCACCTTCCTCAATATAAACTGGCCTAATTAGGCAGTCCAGGTCTTGAAGGCAGATAGGGTTTCATTCACCTTTTCTTGGATAAGTAGATTTCAGTCCTGCTACCTTTCTTTAAAGGAGAGAGTACATGGAAGCTCAAAGTGGAAAACATGAATCTCTCCAGCCTGCGTGTCTCTTTGCCCGCAAATCTCACCCCTAGTCCCCACGTGTGCATGTAGAATTACTCTGTTGCACTGCTCGAGGTATACGGTATAAAAGTCACTGCTCTCCCTTATGGATTCCCCAAACTGAAAATGCTTCACATATTGCCCTCTGCCCGAGTGCCACCCAGCATTCAGAGAGAATATTCTGTAGTGCTAGTGACCGGTCTTAAGGAAGATGGACAAACACAGGAAGTGTGTGGCACATCTGAGTCTCACAGGAAGTCTTTGGAAGCATTCACTTCTCACTGTCTAGTCATTCTTGACTTGGTCCCCAGGTAGACCCGTTGGTCCAGGGTCAGATGTCCTCAGGCTGCAGCCTTTAACCTTAGCTGAAGTTGGCTTAATGAGGAACATATGCTTTGTGTTTATCTGACTGTTCAGTATCTCTGGGTTCCTCAGCCAGCATCTATCATCACCTGAGTTCTCCCTGGCAGACCTGGTGGACAGGGAGCTGTTGGCCTTTCCTTCTGGGTCATCTGTAGAGCCCTGTTCCAACATTTTCCTGAGGCCCAAGGGGAGGTGAGTGACCAGCATCACAGGTGACGATTGGCCTTTCAGGTTTTGAGCCTGCATCAGCCCCAGCTCCCTCGGTCCCTGCCTGGCAAGGTCGCTCCATTGGCACAACCAAGCTTCGCCTGGTGGAATTTTCAGCTTTTCTTGAGCAGCAACGAGATCCGGACTCGGTGAGTGTGCCCAGAGAGATGCATCTTCAATCCAGGATTTCTTTCCCTTTACCGTTCACCTTCTTGTTTTTCCATCTTTCATCCTTGTCCCCTGCCCCATGCCTGACAAATATCCTTTGTGATAACAGGCCTGAGAAAGAACAGCCAGGTGCCTTCTGATTAAGTAGAAAGAGATTCCTATTGGCAGATGTGTAGAAAATAGCAGAGCTGGAGGTATGTTGCTGTCCTGGACTCCAAGGTGCCATAGGGAATACTTGAGTCAGAGAGAGGGACCTTTATAAGCTCTAATGTTCTGTAAAATTTAACAAGAAGTAACATTTATTGAGCCTTGCCATATGCCTGGTCCCATGCAGAGTTATTTAGATATATGATCACAATCCATCCTCATAAAACCCTAGGAGGCTAGGTACTGACCGACAGATGAGGAAACAGAGAGGGTAAGTAACTTTCCCAAAGTCACACAGTTAATCTCTGATGTATTCAAGATTTAAGCTGAGGTTCTCAAAACTCTACAACCTAAACATTTAGCTCTTATTCCATGCTGTTTTTCCAACTCTGTTTCTCACAATAGCAAGTTGTTCTCTTCTTAAGAAGTGTCCGGGTGCAGTGGCTCATGCCTGTAATCTCAGCACTTGGGGAGCCTGAGGCAGGCAGATCACAAGGTCAAGAGATCGAAACCACCCTGGCCAACATGGTGAAACCTTGTCTCTACTAAAACTACAAAAATGAGCTGGGCATGGTGGCTGCATGCCTGTAGTCCCAGCTACTCAGGAGGCTGAGGGAGAAGAATCACTTGAACCCAGGAGCAGGAGGTTGCAGTGAGCCAAGATCGTGCCACTGCACTCCAGCCTGGCAACAGAGCAAGATTCTATCTTAAACAAACAAAAAGAAGTAACAAAATGGTACTTTAACAGTTTGCCATAGAGTGCAGTGCATTATAATATCATAAATACCAGTAACATTGGCGTCTGGACTCTATTTGTCACTTTCTTCTTTCCCATCTCCCCCACCCTATCTTGTACCCATCGTCCCATTGTTTCTCAGCCAGGCATTTCCCATACATATGTGATCCTCCCTTCTTTCCTGCCCAATAAGCCCCTTACCCTTTCTTCACACCCACTCCTTGGCTGTGAGTATGAGCGTTGCATCTGTGTGTGGGTGAGCCCAAGGCAGAAACTGAAGGAATCCTTAGTTTGTCTCTGAGATTCTCACCAACTCTTGCCACATTGTCTATCTCACCCCATCCTTCCCATCTCATAAGTCCCGTGCTCTCTGTGTGCTGCCTGCCTTGCTGTCATTTCCGTTATCAGGAGAAAGTGTTAGGAATGACTTCAGAGCCTGTGGAAGACAGCTGAGATACTGAGCAATTGGAGGTGACTTCTCACAGGAATGTTTGCACTTCAGCTTGAGGGAAGGCCTCCCGTGGGGCAGAGGCTTGACCAGCCATCACCAGTGGAGACAGGAACCCACGTGTGGCTCACTGATGTCTTGATCCACAATCATGAACTTTGGGAGCTGGTGGAAAAACAGAGCTGCTTCTAAATTAGGGGGAAGAAAATGAGGGAAGAGAAGTAAGTTGGGTGCATCAGGACAGGTACAAGAAAATGGAGCTATTGAGACCAGGAAAGAGAAGAAAGGGCCAACTGGATGACTCCTCCCAAGCAGCTGAGTGGTTCACAGGAAGAGTGGTGGTGGGGGTGAAATCCATAGAGGTGGGAGGCATCGGGACAAACTGAAAGATGCCCTGCATGATTCTCTGCCGCTGGTTCTTTGTGGGAAGCATACAGAGTTCTTTGGTTGAAGGCTGGGCATTGGCGCAGATACTGCTTCTGCCTCTTGTAACTCGTGTTTGTATGACACTTCGTTGTTTACAGAGTACTTTGTCATTTAGTATTTTATTCTGTCCTCTTAGTGCCTTGTCAAATAGGTTCTGTTTTCCCCATTTTACAGATTAAGAAACAGAGGCCCAGACATACTGAATGACTTAGTCAAGATACCTAATCAGTAAACAGAGGGAACCAGGAGCCCAAATCTTGTATTTTAGTGAACTCTTTTCACTACCGTAGAAGACCACCTCCAGATTTTGAAGGCCTCTTGAACTGTCTTTCAGTCTATCTCCTGTGTGAGCAAATTTCTCTTTGCATATGACTGTTTTTTTTAGGAAACAACTCCAAGGCACTGGGAGGCAGAAGTCCCCATGTGATTTTTGCTTCCGTGGTTAAAAGACCATGGAATATTTTTTAAAGATTCTCTTTTTTGAAAGAAATAAAAATACTGTGGTATCTCCCCCATTGTTACTGTGCTCTCCAGTTGTGTACCTCTTCAGGCCCAGAAGGCTTGATTGGCACTTTTTGTTGTTGGTATTTGCTGGGCTAAACATTTTGAGTCATTCAGATCATTCTGCAGACATTCATGTGCACCTGCACATGCAAGAAGTCGCACAGGAGAGGAGCATATCACTGCCCAGACGGACACAGCCTCGGCCCCTGGGGAGTATAATACCTAGTAGAGACGCGAAACAGTTGATTATCCAAGAGATCATTGCAAAATGCTGTGACTTCTAGGAAGAAAGAATATTGGATGCTGTAAGTAGCAGGAAACAGGGCAAGCTGCCTTGAGGAAGTAGCCCTTAAGCTGAGAGATGGAAGATTGGACAGGGAGAGAATAAGGGAGCAGAAGATTCCAGAGGTGATGAAGCTGAAGTGTATGTGGCAGTGTATTAAACCTGTGGCTATTTTCGGAAAGCCAAGGCCCACTAAGTCCCTAGAGTAGAGGCCAGAGATACATGCTTCAGATACGTTCAGGATACACATAATAACCTGAATGGGTAAAGTGGGTCTGGCCTGCTGTTGTTAACAAAAAAAGCTTTACTTACATAGACTCCAACACATGACTTAAAAGGCTCTGAAATGAAAGGAAGGCCTGGTGTAACACCCTTGGGCCCTTTGAGAAAAATCGTTATATTTTAGGGGATATAAATTGGGAGAAATTAGAATTTATTTAACAAGTACATTTTGAGCACCTACCACGGTTTCAGGTGTTAGGAATCAGCAGTGAACAAAACAAAGTTCTTATTCTTATGGAGCCCACACTCAGGTGGAGAACGCAAGCAAGAACCCAAGCAAATAAATACCCAGTATGTCTGAAGATGCTAACTGCTTATGTGGAATAATGGTCCTTTGTCACAACTGCTTTTTTTTTTTTTTTTTTTTTTTTTTTTTTTTTTTTTTTTTTTTTTTATATGGGGTCTTTCTATGTTGCCCAGGCTGGCCTCAAACTCCTGGGCTGAAGTGATCCTTGTGCCTCAGCCTCTCGAGTAGCTCATACTACAGGCATGGACCGCCATGCCCCAACCTTTTTCCCAATGGAGAGTTACTTGCTTTTTGGATTAAAATTGTATAATCGCAGAAAATAATAATACCCCCAATAGATATGTTGATGTTTCTGGCTTGTATTATGATACTAAGTGATGTGCATTGGACATTAACAACCAAAGCTCTATCACTGCTGTGAAATTATTTTGCTTAACTTTAGTCACTATGTTGGTGTTGCTTCTGAGATTCCTGTGTTACAAACACTCATTTTGCAGTTGAACACAAATGGTTTAATGTATGCAAATGAATGTGGCAGATTGTGAATAGGATCTATATTTGATTTTAGTGGACATGTGAGGGCCTGAAAGTTGGTTCTTGTGCTAGAGGGGAAAAGTGGTGGCTGACCTGTTGAAAGGATGGAGAATTAACAAAATTATTAAAAACATTTGATAGTATCTTAAGTACCAGCCTCTCAAGTTATATACTATGTGCTTTATTGGACAACCACAATGTGCTATTACAATCAGGGTATAATGGTACTTCAGAGCTAAGGTTACACCAAAAAATTTGTATCTTATAGATAGTTTTTTTGACTCTTAGATTTTTTGTGACTTCTCAGACTTTAATTTTGCTATATTTTTGTTCCAACAAAAGAAACATTAAAGCCATATAAAACTCAGCTCATACATTTCAACACATTTGGGTATACAGTACTTAAAATTTAACATCCAACATTAAACACATTAATTTGATAAGGAAGCAAACAAAGTGACCAGTAATTAAAGGGCCCTAAACAAGTTAAACTTTGCATTTGGCTTCTTTAGATCTTTGTTACAGATGGACATGTACATATGTTTCCCCCTACTTCTTTGTAATGGCTTAGGCTCATTAGACTCAAGGGATTATACAATATTTTTTAGTAGGAAGAAAACTTCTAGGTAGTGCTGGCAGAAAAAGAAATGATGTAGCCAGGTTCCATGCTATTTGTCATTAGTGACTTCTTTCATCTTTACTGAGCTCTGTGAAGTAAGTCATTCTATTGCCTTCTACAGAAGAGGCTTGGAGAGATTGCTCCCTTACAATAGCCAGCTTTGCACCCTAGCCTGCCTGTAACATATCCTAAGAGAAGATAAGACACGATTGCTGGCCGGGTGCAGTGGCTCATGCCTGTAATCCTGGCACTTTGGGAGGCCAAGGCAGGCATATCACTTGAGGTCAGGAGTTCAGGACCAGCCTGGCCAACATAGTGAAACCTGTCTCTACTAAAAATACAAAAGTTAGCTAAGCATGATGGTGGGCACCTGTAATCTCAGCTACTCGAGAGGCTGAGGTGGAAGAAAGAGCTTGAACCCAAAAGGTGGAGGTTGCAGTGAGCCAAGATCACACCACTGCACTCTAGCCTGGGTGGCGAGCGAAATTGCGTTTCAAAAAAAAAAGACACAATTGCATACTTTAGTAGCAACAAAGCCAAGAGAAGAACCTTAGTTTGTCTCCTCCTCAGTCTAGAGTGGCCTTAGAACCAGCATTTTATGAAATTTACTTGTTGGCTCACCACATAGGTCACCCTTGTCACCACTGAAGACTTCTTCACAAGCCCGCAACTTCTAGCAGTAGTGATGGCCAGCATTTAAATATTTCCTGTGTGCCAACACTATGCATTCATTATCTTACGTAATCTTTGTGAAG